TCCACCAAGATACCCGAATAATTGTAATGTTGTTTGTTTTGTCTGTGTAGTAAACAAAATCAATCATCTTTTGTTCTGTAACTGTGTGTGTGTTTGTGGATGTGTAATTCTGAGTATCTGCTTATAGGATAATGCATCTGCATACGACTTCACATTATTTTGGACGTTGATTACTATTTTTCTGTTTTCATCGCTATAATGTTTTGTTGTTGATTTGTTTGTTCTGTTCTTTTTGTGCATGTGTGTATGTGTCCATCTCGCCATCTGAGGTACGCTTTAGGTTTCATTCTGTTGAAGTTGATTGTCTCTAATGTGTTGTTTGTTCACAGTCCTCCGGCCCTTCTGTTTGTTTATGCGGGGCCAGTTTTGCCCTACGCCACTTGCACAAATAATTATGTTCACTAATGAAGGGGCCCGCAGCCACGGCACTCGGTAAATGCCTTTCTGATGAGAAGCACTAGGAGACAGCAGGTGCAGGGTGGGCCTCCCAGGGACTAAGATTGAAGACCAGGAAGTCAGAGTGCCCCGCCCCTCCATCTCTCTATCTTTTTATTCCTCTCTGACTTCCTGGTTCTTTCATTCTCCTCTGTGATTTGTGAGAGTATTCATGAAGTACACATTGCTGTAACCACTTCAGTTTTGGGAAGATTTCAATTTTCTGATTACATGCATAAACATAACCTGCTTAGCCTGAGATTTGTTGGATCCATCGGGGCACTAAAGCACATATACACATTTCCTAATTCTGTTTAGTGTTGTTTTTGTTGTAGCTCTGGGAATACATTTAGACACTCATAAGGATTATGCAAAGATACCTCACTTTTATCTGCTCTGTGAAAACATTGTGCTAGAAATTTGTTAGGCTGTAACACACAATATATGAATTGTTTCATATACAAAAATATGGTGTTTATTTAAACGGGTTTAGAAAAACTGCTGCACAAAACAGTCATCATAATGTATCTGAAGTAACTTACACTGATGTTTCTTCCTCATCATCATCTCTTCTGAAACTCTTCCCCCATTTTCATTCTCCCCCTGTGGCTTCCTTGGGCTTTGAGGGCAAACAAATAAACAAAACAAAACATTTATAGACTCAGTGCTTGCATCTTGGCCCCCAAATCCCTGCACTTAGAGCTGAGTGAATGAAGCATGCGGAGAAGGCCCATATGAGAAAGACAGACAGAAAGACATTTGGGCTTCTTTCTCAGCAAACTTTTACCCCCCTCCCTTTTCCCCTCTGTCTCTCCAAAAACTTCCTAAGCAGAAATATTCTTGTGTACGCGTGTGTGCGCATGAGGGTGAACGAGAGCGCATGACTGTTGGGTTTGTGAGCACATGCATGTGTGGGTTTGGCTGTGGATGTGTGTGTGGTGAGTGGTGAGTGGTATATGATGCACATGCGTGTGTGCATTTGCATGTGTGTGTTTGAGCAGGGTGGTGTCAGCTCGCTCCTTGCCACCCCATTTGCTGTAGCTGTACCGCTGTGATCACAGACAGATGTATAAATCAAACCTCGCTTGATGGATTCATCAGGGTGGCGAAACGATCGCCTGAGAAGAACTCGCAACTCTCTTAGCGTTCTGTGTTCTGACGGAAAGGGTATGCAAAGAGCCTAAATGGATGAACGCTTGATTAATTCTTTGCCGGAGATGTTGGCGACAGCAGGAAATGTGTTTTTGCTTTGACTGTGTTTGCACGGGAATTTACGCGCGCGGGGCGTGAGTTATGAGGCCTGAGTTTTGTACCTAAGGCTATTGTGCATAATGATGGCAGGTTGGGAGAACTGCAAGCAGCCGCTAAAGACTTGCTACCTGTGGAGCAAAGACAACCAAAGAGAGAGAGAGGGAGGGTGTGTGTGCGCTTGTGTGCTTGTGTGTGTGTGTGTGTGTGTGTATGTGTAGATTTGGTTCCAGTGTGGGAGAAAGATGAAGCTGCAAAGTGTGTGCGAGCAAGAGATGAAGACGCAAAGTGTGACAAGGAAGCAGAGACAGGTGAGGTAGGGAAAAATTAGATTTAAAAAAAAAAGAGGAGATGTAATGCACAAAGTTGCATTAAAGGGAGAATAATTCCTCATAACTCCACCTACTTTTGACCATTCAGGTAACACTTTATATAGAGAGTCTGCCAACAAATAGTTCAGGGAGTAGGCCTATTTGTAGCATTCTAACAGCTTATTTATTGAGATTCAACAACTGTTTTCTGATATTACACTGCTGTAGTTAAGCTTTGGTTAGGTTTAGGCAGAAAAAATATCTTGGTTAGGGTATGATCATGAACTGTCACATGTAGGCAGACTATCCGAATAAACTGTGACCACCTTTCAGTCACTGGCACATACCATGTCCTCTGTCAAAAAGCTTTCCTAAACAGAGATTCTGCACAAAAAATTGTGTTCTTCGACTATTAGTTTTCCATCACTTTAAACTTAATGCACAAACTTGTGCTTCGCAATCAAGAGGATCAGAAACCATGTCTGAGAGGAAAAGAAAACACATAGTTGTCATATTGCCACACCTCAGGACCAACAAGGTTCCTTATCAGACCCCTTAATTCAAAAAAAAAAAAACCCTTTCGTACCAAAACAGAGCCAGGCAAGTTTATGTTGCCACTATTGCTATCACATGCAGTGAACAGATTATTTTTCCTTCAGCGTGGGTGTAAAAGTTGTTTTTAAAAACCTTGCTAAAAGTTTTTTAGTGTGTAGTCCTATACTTGCATTAGTATGTTTGTGTTGTGTGACACATTTTCTTTGTTTCCTATTATTTGATATTTCCTTCATTCATTTTGTTTTTGTTGCCTTTTCTTTTTTCTGTTATGTATGTTGAAAACTCTTATTTTTCTTTCTGTCTTTTTGAGAATAAATGAAGATTAAATGAACTACAGATAAAACAAACTTGTGCATTAGTGAAACATGACTACCGAGAAATATCAGTTAATCCAGGTGCCTGCTTTTGACGACTACTTACATTTTTACGTACTCATTATTTCTAAACGACATGTCAGTTCACAAAAGAAAACAAGTATATTGACCAATACTGAGTGATAATAGTTTTTAGTTTTAGTAGATTTCCTTGCTGTACTTTCATGGCAAAACTGCCATGATGTTAACGGCATGATTTTCTCTGAGGGAGTTTATAGAATTTAAGAGTTGATATTTGAAATATCTGCAGTAGCAGAATGTTGTTTCCAGGGACCGTTCTTATATTAAAAGTAAAGTTAATAAAAAGTAAGTACATTGAAAAGTTCAAAGAGAAACCCTTTGTGATATATCAGATTACCAAAAGCTCAATAAATTAGAAACAGGTTTCTGTGTCCGGATGCTAAGGTTCTTGGAGACAGTTAGCAAGTGGATTTTTATAGCTAATATGTTGGTAATTTATAAGAAAAGGCAATCTGTGTATCTGGGGGTGGCAGAAAGAGGGAGGAAGAGGAGGGGTGGCAATATGAGTAGTAATTTACTCAGTTAAGAGCCAAATGGCAGACAGACTGTCGCCCTGCGTGTTATCTTGGAGATTTGCACTCTGCTCGTTTTCTGACTATATTTCCCTGCCTGTGTGTGTGAGTGTGTGTGTGTGTGCAGTTTTGTGTGCATATGCACGCAGTTGGGTAGTAGCTTTAGAGTATCAGCATCATTTGAGCATTTCTTTGTATATTGTACTGTAAATCATGAAGACTTTATTGCTTTACCAGAGCTCATATGTGTACATACTGGTACATGTTTGTTCATACACTGAGATTACAGTAGACAACTGCGAATTTATGTGTGTATCTGCGTGTGTTATTGTTTCATGTGCCTTTACTTGTGTGTTTGCACTTATGTGAGTGAATATGTGTGTTTTAACGAATCTTGGGAGGCTTCATTGCACTCATCAGGATATCAGTGTTGAGAAATGGCGTTGTCAGTGAAGTGACAGTTGTGTGTGTGTGTGAGGATTGATGTGCCTGAGTCTGACAGCAGCCATATTGTGGAGAGAGAGAAAGATGGGATGGAGGGAGGATCAGGGGGAAGAGTATTGTAGCCCCCTCATCCTAACAGGTTAATATTGACACAGCCTGGGCAGATACAGAGCCTGCAGCGCTCATCAATCACTTTCAGTGGACCCTTACAAATACACACACAGGCTCAAGCAGAGAGAAGGACCACACACATACTTTAATACACAGCATATAGAAAAATACAAACACACTCATAAAGTCAGGCAACATGACGTTGTGTCATGTTTTCAAGAATACCAGAAACACACAGAGTGTCAAACTTTGACTTCTTCTGTTAGCTTTACTAAAACGACAGTATCTCTTTTGTTTAAAGTTTCTACTTAAATAAGCACAACAACAATTTTGAGAACTTCACAAAACAAACAGTTACACAACAAATCTAGATTAATCAAGCAAATATGTTTTCAAAGTATCACTTTACACACTTTATGTGTAACCCTGCGTTGCAAATTATGGTTTCCATAACATTGTTGTTAATCATTTCAGAAAGAAAGAAAAAGCAAGTTCCCTTGACAAACAAAACAATTAATTAATGCAACTTTCCATCCATCAATCATTGTGCCTGTCATTGAATTACCATAATCTGTGCATGGTGGCTGTTTTAAGAGCAAACAGTTAATTTCCAAACAATAAATCACAAAGTGACTCTCTACCCCTCTGTGCGATTTGACAGCTTCGTCTCTCATTGCTACAGATTTTACAAAAAATTAAATCATATGCACAATAAAAGGCAGGGGTCGAACAAAGTTTCCCAAACAAATCCTAACGTTCCTAATGTTAGGACATTTTTATTTATCATTTTGAGACTATTACAACAAAATATATTAATTGTTTTTCATTATTAGTTCATTAATAATATGATTTTTAAGAAGTTAGAACTTTGAGCATCTGTCAAGCACCTTGCCATACACACTTGGGATCTTGATTCCTTCCCCCTTTTTCTTCTTTTATTTCTTTCTTTCTTTTCCATTTGTCTTTTTTTAATCTCTCTTCCAGGACTGGCATGGTTATGTGGACGGGCTGAAATCATTCAGTGGTCGCCATGGCTATGATGGCCTGGTGGTTCTCTTGTCCATCAGTGATACACTTCATCATCCCTGCCAGCAGGTGGCTGTCTACTCAAACAACACAGATATCCTTAACCAGGTAAATAAAATTTAAGATCACAAACAGCATCCTACAATAAGTCAAACGTGAAACACAAGTGTTTCTTTGAACTCTATGACTAATTCTGGTGAGTGTAAATAGGCATTGTAATGATTCTTATTTATTTGTCAATTTTCCTGAATCTCTAGATATGATTTTTTCCTTTGTTAAATTATCAAACTAACACAACAGCAACTTGACAGTAGGTGAGTTGAGAGGCTTTTAGTTTGGGTAAAGTGCTCTGGTGAGGATGCTAAGCGACAACACAGGTTAGTCTTTCTTATTAGGCAAGATTGTCATTAAGTCCTTACGTTAGTCAGTCAGCCTTCCCAGAAAATCAATACAATGCATAAAAAGCAATAGTTTAACATTTTAGAAAATTTGCTTTCCTGCTGAGAGTGAGATGAGAATGTCGATAACACAAAATAGAAAAAATATTCCAACACAATGGCTTTGATTGCAGATCTGCTGTGAGTTGGAAGAGTCTTCCAGTTGGTGTCTTTCTGGTGAACTGGAGACCAGGGAGAGTCTCCAGGTATATCACATCCCTATAAACACCTCCTTATCTTCTGGTACTCCCCCTCTGCTGGTAGAAGAAATACAGGGCCTCCTCAAGGACTTTGTTGACAGGCGAAGTTCTATATTAGCCTGCCACCCCAGCAGTAGGACCTCTTCCACTGATGGAGTGGCAGGCAGCGTGGAGTTCTCCCAGGGATCATCTGGTATCAATGACATGGATGGTTCTGATGTAGAGAGAGCTGACGGAGGCAGTGGAGATGTGGTGGCAATAGCAAGGTAATTAAGTGCATTCCTTTGAATTTGTTTCATATAGTTTAGTTATCAAAAAGAAAATCAGTACTGAGATTGAATACTATTTATTCATGGACATTAGGTTGATACAATTCAATAACAGCGTTGTTTTATATATGTTTATAGGGTGATGGCTGATGGCGAAGAGGACACAGGAGGTGTAGGAGTTGGTGCTGGCGGGGAGCTTGTGAGCCCTGACAGCGGTATGACCACCATCCGCAGCAGCCGTTCATCCAAGGAAAGTTCAGTGTTCCTTAGTGATGACAGCCCAGTTGGTGAGATTATAGCAGGAGGAGGGCCAGGTCCAGGTGGACTCTTCCTGAGAAACCCATCTCCCCTGGGGTTATCATCCCTTTCTCCTCCTGTCCCCCCTGAGAGGAGGAAGCACCGCTCTAGCAGAAATAAGAGTGACAACTTTGACCTGTTTAGTTTTGACCCACTACATAGCAGTGACCACTCTATGCCAACAGGAAGAGAAATAGCAATTTCTGGAGTAAGAGGAGATGAAGGAGAAACAAGAGCAGATAGCTCCAGCTTTTCAGAACTTGAAGAGCTCAGCTTGCTGGATTTCTCTGCTCCCAATTCATTGGGTGGACTTGGAAGTAGAAATTCTTCAATTGACCAACGGGTTCAAATCCATGGGAATGAAATGATTGACACTGTGGTTCCTCCAACGCCAGTCAACAGTGTAGTAGGTAGCCGCCCACCCAGCAGTTGTGGAGTCAGGTTCTTTCCAGAAGATGTAGTTGAAAGGATCAGTGGCCTGCAGCACAAGGACAGTGTGTCATCATCGTTGTCAGAGACCTGGGATGAACTTGGCTTTGACACACTAGGAACATTGTCCTCAAGTGATAATACTGCCTGGAATAGGACCAAGGAACCTGAGAGTCCACAGAAAATTGTGGATGAAGTAAGAGGGAATGAGTCAGTTGATGATATGACAGAACGAGAAAGCACAGAAGAGATCTTACAGTCAGGGAACACCCACCAGAGGGGAAAGACCCTTGAACCCCAGCTTAGCCTGATCACTGAGCAAACTGAATCATATGACAACTGGAACCCAGACTCTGTACTTAAGGATCGATGGAACCCTGTTACATTGGCTTCTCTGCAATTGACACCACCAGAGGAGGAAGTAACTGGAAAATGCATGGCTGGTATCATTGGAGCGAAAGAAAAAACATCCTCAGTGTCGAGAAAGAAAGCAGTCCTAAACACTTTAACGCCAGACACATCTAAAGAAGAGGATGAAGGGGTACAAGGAAAAAAAGGAGACAGACAGATGGAGCTCCTAGACTTCTGGACATACTCAGCTCAGAAGGGATTTCTCAAATCAGATAGCGGAACCACAACGTCTTACCCTGAATCACTAGATATGTGGAATATGACAATCCGAGATGACAGTCTATCACCTCTCACGACCCCTGACAACTTGTCTGAAACCTCAGCTTCTTTCAGTGGAGTGAACACCAATGTTGGGGCTGGCACATCTGTGGAAAGTCCACCAGGATTCTCTGATGGTGGAATGGTGATGTGGAACACCACCATACAGGAAGACACCTCTTCCACAATAACAAGCCCCGAAGGACCTGAAAATGGAAAGGACCTCAGTCACATGGGATCATTGGATACCAGTGATTCTCCTGAGACACATGCTTACAAACAGGTGGACGAAGAAAAAGCTATAGATGAGGAGAGAGGTATAAATAAAGTGCTTAGTCAGACTCTTGAAGAAGTGGGGTGGAGAGGTAATGAACATAATGTAAAAATAGTCATAGAGGAAGCTGAAGGTAGAACACAGGGTGCAGAAACAGGTGATAGTGACATCCAGAGTGTTGAGAGCCAACAGTCTGTCTTGCAGAACTTGGCACCTGAACATTCAGAAGATGATTCTTCCTCCTACCAGGGTACTGACATGTGGGACCTACCTGTCCCTGGCATGGTCACCTCCACTTCAGAATATGACAATGTAGGAGCTGGCACATGGAGCCTGACATCCTCCCCTGAGACCTATGCTAGTCCCATTGTAGACATGATACAGTTAGACGGGCAGTCTAGCCCTTTTGTAGATGTGACAAAACCTATTCATATAGACGAAAGGCATGATCAATACCAGAAAGCTGATCCTTTTGGAAAGACTGAATACAGAACAGTAGTTTCAGACAAAGAACAGCCAGCCAACCAGGTGTTCCTATTCGAAGGAACTAGTGAGTTGGGTCAAATGATCAGGAGTGGCGGAAGTTCAACTGAAAGTAGGTATGACAAAAGTGAAGAAGGATCAGAGGAAGTTGATTGGATAGAGCAACCAAAGGATCATTCCCCTTTTGATCTGGTGGACTACTCCACTGTCACTCAGGCCACTTCAGCCAATCATCATTCAAGATCAGTAGAAGCTACTGAGACACAAATACAGAATGACCAATCATTATCCGCAAGCCTTGACAACTGGGACAATCTAGTTTACAAGAATCACGATGGCTCTGAATCAACTTCATCACATGATCTGCCAATCACAATGGCCCACAATGAAGATGAGCCTGTCACTGAAAGCCAATATGATCCTAACAATGGGAGCACTGGACGTGTGGAGGGTAGAACAACAGAAACCATGTCTCTGAGCTCAAGCTCTGGAGGGGACAGAGACACAATGAAGTATAGCCCCGACAGCCTTCACCCAGGCAGTAGAGATGAACTCAAGTCCAATTCTGATGGAGATTCATCATCAGGCCTAGAAATGGAATACATCATTGTATCTGGCACAGTAAAAGAAACTGAGAGAGAGTGGCACGATAGACCTAAACAAGGTGACAGGCAATCAAAAAGAACAAGAAAGTCCATGGAGACATTTAGCATGCTTTCCTATGCTGCCACAGTACTGCAAAGCCAGGCCCAAGCTGCACATAGAGAGCATCAGGAGAACACAGAACAAAGTACGCAAAACCAAATGATCAGAGGTACTGATAGTGCACTTAGTGCAGATACAGAGCAAAAGCAAGATGTCTTATCCACTCATTACAAAACACAAAGTCCTGATAGTGCCACTGACCATCATGTCGTGCCAGAAATGATCACTCCCAGCCAATCAAAAAATAATTCTGAAGCTTTTCACAAGTCAGATTCAAGACCAACAGGTTGCAGTCAAACACAGGTAGAAGGATACTATGATGATAAATCAACCATTGTGTCTAGAAGTGTTTCTCCATCATTAAGATATCCATCAGATCACTTCCTGAAAACCAGAGAGGAAGTATATGTTCATTCACAGATCTCAATGGAAGATTCAGATGAGGGTGGGCAGTCACCCTCTGCACCTCCACCATGTCCCACTTCTTTGAGCAACATTCAAGTCTGGAGGGGTCAGTTAGCGAGGCAAGACACATCTCAAACCACATCTGAACCACAGTCTCCTGTACTTACCAACAGTTCGGTGTCCCGCACCAGCTCTTTGATTGGTACCCCATTAAGTGAATCTGGAATTTCTACCGAAAAAGGACTGGGATTACCATTTTCTGGAGATTTAATGGAAGAGGAGAATGATGATGAAGAGCAGGAGGAGGATACTGATACAGAGCACACTACCCTGCCAAAATATACTTCAGAAGTGCAAAGTGAGAGGGAAGAAAGACAACAATTGAGATCTTCTGATCTGTTAAGTTTCACAGAGGAACTGATTGGAAGTTCTTCATTTCAACAAACAGATTTACAATCACTTGAGCCAAAGAGGGACAAATTCTTACATAATACAGCGGATTACTATGATGAACAACCTATTGGGACTGTTGATTGTGATAATTGGTCAACTGAACAACAGATTGGAGACCATGAAGCTTCTCAAGATAGCTATTCACCCATTTCAAGGTAAGCAATGCACCTCAAATTATATTCTTTTGACTCAAGCTTTGTGCTATTTTACTGCTATACCACTTCAACATGCATGCATGCATATGCACACATGTGCCTGTTCTGCACACACACCCACACACATACACACGTGCCAACCACCCTCTCCACACTCTCCCTTAGTTCTTGGGTTTTTGAGTCTCTACAGCTTTCTCAATGGAGTCTGTACGTCAGAGGAATATTAGCATCGCTGAACAGACTGTCGAAATCGAGCTGGAAGGCCCTCCCGAGGAATTGATTCTGATTATCTATGTGTGTGTGTTGTATGGTTGAGTGACAGACTGGGATTGACAGAGAGGATGTGAGAATAAATATTACTGATGTGACAGAAAGAGATTATGTGTCTCTATTTTTGTGTGTGTATGAGTAAGAAACAAACATGTGCATGTGTGTGCGTATTTCATGTGTTTGGTAGCAAGCTTTGATCTGCAGCTCTGTGTGTGTGTTTATAAATCTGTTTACGCCTCATTAAATATGCATTACCTGCCTCATTACAGCTGGAGCCCCACCACAGCTAATAGAAACAGCTCCCCTAGCGCTCTTACAAGGTGTGGGTGTGAGTGTGCAGGCAAACCTGTGTGTGAGTGTGTGCATAGGTAATACCCAACATATCAGATAATAAAAGTTTGTCCAAACTTTAACTTTACATTAGCAAAGAGTACATAATATACTTATGTTGTTATATTGTTTTGGTGTAATTGTTTATGCTGTATGTTTGATTGTTTACTGCTCGTTTTATTATTACAGGCAATATTACAAGGTATGGCTTTATGTGAATGACATTTGTTGTTGAGTTCTAAAGCAGAATCTCATTTCACCCAGTTGTTGTGGATCTAAACATTGTTAAATGTACCCTGGAGAATTTTCTTGTAAACAAACTCAGTTTACATTCAGTGTACCTCCCCAAAACACATTGTGCGTGTCCTTGAGATCTAACAAATGTGTTGAAAGCATTTCCTTCCTCAGAAAATATTTGAAAATCAGATTTATTTGTAATGTTTGAAACATCCATGTTTTCCTTGGTAGCAGTCCTCTTTATCCCTGCTTTTGCTGCTTTTCCTGGCACATTACCAACACCTGTCAATTAATATAATAATGGCAGGAATGTACAGTATATCACAACACTTGCACGCTCATGTGAAAGCGTGTGTGTCCTCGTACGTTTTCATGAGAACAAATGAAACAGGGACCCCATGTAAAAACATTGCTCCATAGTGCTACTAGTGGTCAAAAACCCTTAATGCTTTAATGTGTACCTCAAATAGTTTAACTCACCCTGTATTGAACAAGCTGAAGAATACAAATTTCTTCAGTATACTGGGCAGTGTGTGTTTGATATATTCATTCTAGTAGAACCCCAAAATGTAAACATTAAAAACATTCACAGCCTACAGGCAGATGCATGAGGGTCACTGCATACCATTTGTATTCACAATTCTTTCTGAATTTCTCCTCTCTGCACTGATCCCCCTTCCCTTGTCCCCTTAAAAGAAGACACCAAGATGTGGCGTCACAGTTTTCCTCCCAGCCAACCAATGAAAATGCCGCATACCAGTGGACAGGAAGTCAGAACGCAACTCAGGGTCAAACCCAATATGGCTACAACTACCACCACATTGACCAAAGAACTGAAAACCAGAGCACCCACCCAGCCTGTGTAGATGCTAAATCCAACAACCAGCCAAACACCACAGATGTCTATGCTGAGTTTACAACTGATACCACAGCTACACATTACGGATCTGAGCAGGCTGAGAGCTATTATGAACCTGGAGTTAAAGCCGAGTACAGCTTGGATGATCCAGGTTCCAGTTTTCAATATATAGCTAAAAGCCGGTATGGAGATGACTCTAACTCCATGTGCGCCTCTGAACTCCAGTGCTCTCAGTATCAAGCTGATGACCAGGGTCAGTATGAATCCGACCACACCCATAACCAGCTTGATGGGCAGCCATTCTACCAATCGCATGCCCACCCTGAGAGGGAAGATCATGCGCGATATGTGCCGGAGGAATATGTTCACTTTCTCCTGGAAAGGTGAGCTTTCAATTTTGCTTTCAGTTCAGCAACTTTAATTCTTAGTGCTGTCTGGAGTCTAATAATATGTACAACTGGTACGCCCATCCACTTTGCAAGCTAGCCTCAGCAAGACAATGTAATTTCAGATAGAGGTTTTCTTTCACCAGTCTTTCTTAAAAGCTGAAACATGATTATAGGGGTCTTCTGTACATTATAATTGTGTGGAAGAGAGAGAGATCAACTGGATCTGCAAAGCTTTTCCAAAGCCTAAAAGCTGCACTGCTGTCTTTTACCACAAAGAGGCAGCACAGATCAGTTTAAAACTGTGATCAGTTCTTTAGATACCTTTCAAAATTTTCTTTTTAACAAAGCATTCAAGGATTGACATATGAAGCTTAAATGAGCAGGTGTAAAAGTATTCTATTTGCCTTTGTCTAGAAGAACTACGTATGTGTGCACATGTATGTGTGTGGGTGTGTATGTACACTGCAGTTTAATTGTTCCCTGTTAGCAGTTGTTGGCACTTGTTTTGCCCTACTTTGTAATTCTGATGACCCCCCCCCCCCTTCAGGATACACGACCCTCCCCTGTCTTTTACTGTGTGTGTGGGAGTGTGCGTACATACACAGCACATTTTTCCATAAACATGTGACTTGATTGTGGAAAGAGTGGTTCAGTCACTCATGCTGGGAGAAGACAGAGGGTGGGGAAAGGTAGGTATCCTAAGACAGAGATGGGTATATGTGTGTCTTTGTGTCTGTATTCATGTGTACTGGTTTTTCTGTACTGCTTCTCTCTATTGTTAGGCCTTATGTTAATCAGAGTCTGTTAGAGGGGCTTTGGTTGGGGGAAGGTAGCAACACTGCTCAGTATTGTTTCCCCAGCCCACACGTGCAGCCTGGGAATGAAGCAGTGAGTCGCTTTCTCTGTCTGCTTTGTCACTTCTGTAATCTTTTATGTCCGGAGTCAAATGAACAGATTTTAAACTCTTCCTCATTCAGTGTCATGGGAAAAGTTAGATTCTTTTTCTTTGTCGATGATTGTCTTTGGCTTGTTTGGCCCAATACTATGCATAGCTGTGCTGATGGTGGCATTGATGATAGCAATGATAATTTATGTTGTGGCTCATTATTGTATTTCTGTGCCTCTGAGCAGACACTCCCAACAGGGAGAAAGTGCGCCTGGGATGATGATGAAAATGGCCTCCAGTGAGGAAGCTGCTGAGGAGATGGATAACAGAGAAGGTAAATAAACAAGCAATTTATCTAAACTTAGATTGTTATTTTAAATCTTTAGTGTGCTCTCACAATAATCTATAGAAATGTAAACTTTTAAAGCCCTAAATATGAATGATCTTTAGACTTCCGGATTAGTCACAACATTGTCTAAGGAAGAGATAGCCACGAGACAAAAGCTTCTTACTGTAAAACATAGTCATATGAGGGGAAATTACAGTGGATCTAAAACAAATTCAGAAACTAAAAATTAAACCATCTCTCTTTGACCAGATCCACCCTCCTCTGTGGATCTCTCAGGCGGCTCCAATCAAAGGAGAAAGTTGGCAGCTCCACCAATAAATGTGTCACTGGACCGGAGTGAGGGGTCTCTTCTCTCAGAAGATGCCCTGGACACAGAGGACGAGGCCTTGGATACTGGTGATGACCTGGATCTGGACACACCTGATGAGGCCGACTTACATGGTCAGACACACACCTGAAGATACGATACAAACGTGCACACAGGACAGACAAACAAAAACACTGTGTTGTTATGTTGTCTTGTGAAACTTAATGCTCACATCCACTGTCTTTGTGTCACAAACAGAGGACTCAGAAGAGTCTAATCTGGGTGCAGGAGCAGCATCAAGTGATGCTATCGCAGAAGCAGCTGAGGAGAGCAGGGATAGCAGGCTGTGGAGGAGCGTGGTGATTGGAGAGCAGGAGCATCGCATTGATATGAAGTGCATTGAGCCATACAAAAGAGTCATTTCTCATGGAGGTACGCAAGCACAAATTCTAAAAAATCCATGCCTGCCACTTTCTCTAATGATTCCCTCCCTTTTCTCCTCTTTCTGTTGTATCTTGCTGTTTTTTCACTTTTTTGCTAAAGTGACTGACTGATAAGCAGTTGGCAGCCTCTGCCATCAGTGTATGAATGTGTGTGAAAAGGTGAATGTGACATGTAGTGTAAAGCACTTTGAGTGGTCAGAAGACTAGGACTAAGACGGGCTCATTACTTTATTTTTAACGAATTTGAGGTAAATTATTGATTATAGTGTTTTTTTTGCATCATTGTAAGCCTTCCCACGTCAAGACCGGTACATATTACGCATAACAGACGCAACATGGTGAAAACGACAAGAGAGGGAGACTCGACCCAATTTCAAGTTTCAATTAGCTTTACACAGAAACATCAGGCAGAAATGTCTTTCAGAGTGTTGTTATCTCAAAATGTCCTTGTTTAGAAACTAATGACACACATGGAATTTTCCCCCTCACCCTCTTTTCCATCATCAATGTGTAGACCAAGACAAGAAGAAAATATTTTTTTTGCAATTTCAAATATTTTTGAGAAAATAGTTTCATACCGGCTTCATTTCTGTGTTTATGTTTTATGTTTCAGGTTATTACGCTCAACAGAATGCCATCATCGTGTTTGCAGCATGTTTCCTACCGGACAGCAACTGTGATAATTACAATTATGTAATGGAAAACCTTTTCTTGTAAGTAAAAGCTATACTACTTGATCAAATATATGCGGACATTTAACCAGGTTGGATCCAGGCTGGCAGGAATTGCTCCCTTTCTTGTGGCTATGTGAGCACTTGTGAAGTCAGCAACAGTCCTTATTATATAATAAGGCCTGGTTTGCAGTCTGTGCTCCAATTCATCCCAAAGGTTTCAGATAGGGTTAAAGTCAAGTCAGTCAAGTTCCTCCACACAAAACAATGAAAACTCTTTCATTATGGACCTGTGCATGCAAGCATTGTGCATTTGAAACAGGGATGGGCCTTCTCCAAACTATTTCTACAAAGTTAGAAGCACTCTTTTGTGTAAAATATCATGGTATGCTGCATTGACTGCAAAACTACACAATTAAATGTGGACTTATGTATGTTACATCATTCAGTTAACCAGAATATTGTTTATGTTGCTTTTGTCAAAGCCAGCATGTGTTAACATGCTCACCTCAGAGTGTTTTCTGTTGTCTGTTTGTGTAGGTATGTAATAAGTACCTTGGAACTAATGGTGGCAGAAGATTACATGATTGTTTACCTGAATGGTGCCACCCCTCGCAGGAGGATGCCTGGCTTTACCTGGATGAAAAAATGCTATCAAATGATAGACAGAAGGTAATTGTCACACAAGACGAAGAAGTGCACAGCAACTTTAATGTATAATTTATTGTGCAATGTACTGTCAAACACACACATGGTTCCCCACCACATTAAACCACTATCTCCACCTTTTGTTTTTTCACAAAACACTTTGACATCAAACAGTTTAGAAAATGTATTTGTCTCTAATAACCATATTTTTTTCTCTATAAATTACATTATATTACATTGTTATATTATGCAGAATGTCTAAAGAAGAAAAATTTCAAATTAGTTTAAATACAAAGAAAAATCTAAAGCTAAGTGAATAAAGAATTAAATATCCCCTGTCCAATACTTTTTATAAGTGCTCCTTAGAAAAGAGAGACTTTAGAAAGATTACTCACTCAATATCAATTTAAAGAATTAAAGAGTTCATATGAATAAAATATTGCTGATTTGCATGTATCAGTAGGTTTTCATTGTGATTCAAGAAATGACTATAACTCAGCCCATGGGCTTGGACGCAAGTCCCATCACTATTCAACAATATCATAGGTAGGTCAGTAGGGGGCACACCGATCTTAGTTTTTCAATAACTAACTGACTGGGATAAACATTAAAAAAATTTACTTATGACTGCAGTGACTTTACTGATCATAAATTGTGTCAGAAATCACTTCCTCGTTCATTCATTCACTACTCCCT